CACCTTCAATTGCTCTGTCCACCTTCTCCCTAGTTTTTGTATTTCTTATTGGTATGAGCTGCTTCCTTATTCCACGGACCAGAACATTATTTTTGTGTTTTCCCTCTTCTTTGGAGCCATCAGGAAACACTGTACAGCCATATCCATGCCTCTTGTTATTTGCCCACTCGCCTTCGTACTTCATGCCGTTGGAGCGCTCGCTGATGCCGAAACCACTGCGCTTGTCGTTCTTCCACTCACCCATGTAGGTTTCCGTGGTGGTGGTGTCCACATGGTCTTCCACCAAGCAAAAATCACAGTCGACGTCGCCGAAGCTAATTGTGGAGTTGGCGTCACTGGAACTGATCCGGCTCATGGCCGCGTCGCTGCGGACCGAGCTGCGCTTGCTGGAGATGGAAGACTTGGATTCGGACTTGCGGAGTTTCATGCTGCCGAGAAGGGAGCCTCGCCGGAACAGGCCTCCTTTCTTCTTCCCAGCCGAGAGGCCAGAGTTGGCCTGGAAGTTGAGCACGAAGCCACCTCGGGTGCCAGCCGGGCTGTCTGCGGCGGCAGCAGCAGCGGCGTCATGGAGCACGCTGCCGTTGCTCTGCTCACTGCGCAGCGAGGCCAAGGAGGTGCGCAGGGGCGAGCGGATCACCGTGGCCATGCCGTAGGGCACGCTCTGGTGCACCCCGTATCCGTGTCGCATGCCTCCGGCCCACTGGCCCTGGTAGGTACCAGGTAAGAAGAATCCTTCTTCTTTTTTTTTTCATTGTTCAATATTTTTTTGTTGTTCAATAATTTGTTCAATAATTTCCACGTTGGGTTGGATCACATTTCTTGACTAGAGTCTAATATAGATCTCTTTCAGTTGGTGAGCAAGGCAGCTAGTTTCAGATTTAATTAGACATAAAAGTAAAAATAACTAAATGCATTAGAAGATTAGCCATATTTTCTTTCTATTCTCCAGGATAAATTGTCAAAAGAACAAACATATCTGCCTTGTAAGAAGTGTAAACAGAGAGTTCCTTAGATGCTTACTTTGGGAATGTTATTAAGAGAGGCTAATGCCTGGTAACTGGAAGCAGGAGCGGCATCCACTTCCGAAATGGCTTGTCTCCGAAAACTCTATGTACGAACAGTGCTCAGACTGCTCGTTCATAGGATCGCTATGAGTCGTCTACGACTCGACGGCATCAAAGAACAAACAACAATGCCTGGTAAAGGACATCTTGCTTGCAAAAGTAGAGAGCAGATAATAATAAGTCACTTAGAGAGAAAGACTGACACAGATTTGCAATGGTGTGCTGAAGTACAGCTGAGATGTTGAAGATGGTGCAAGATTGGGCAGGCTTTTGTACTGTAACCCACAGGGTTGTTATGTGTTAGAATCCACTTGATAACACCACAACTAGTATTTTAAAATTTATTTAAAGAGATTTTAATTTTATTGAGGAGAAGAGTTGTTTTACTTTGAATTACGAAGTGACATGGAAAGCCAGACTTGGTATTTAATATAGTATACTAAACAACATGCCACTGGAAACTCTATGAACTTTGATAAATGTTGATAGCTATAGAAAAGCTTCAGGCCTTTTGTTCTTAGACTCTCTACAAAATTGTGATTGACTTGAAGGCTATCAACAACAATAAGAACATTCTATTAACGTGTAAATATATTACAGATTTCTACCATTTGTAAACCACTTATCTTAAGATTTTCCATACTTTTTTGAATTCTCTTGATCTTTTTCTCATTCCTAGACATCTTAAGAGAGTTGCCTTCACTTTTTTATTTCTTATTCCTTTGTTAAGAGAGCTGTGGTGGCTTATTCTCTAGGAAATTGTGCTGTCCACGCCAAATCTGCCTGAAGTTGATGATTTGAATCCAGCTTTGTGGGGGGAAATAGGTAATATCTGCCAGTGCTACTTGGAACCTTGGAAACCCAATTTAGAGTTGGCTGTGAGTCAGTTCTGATGACAGCAATGGACCAGCCATTCCTTCCTTTAGTCTATGAAATTTGGGATCTACCGCCATTGCCCAAAATTTGACACATAGTGGACTTGAATTATCAAGTGTTAAACTAATAAAAGGAATTTTCTCTGGTGAAAGGATAAATTAAAAATGTACAAGAGGTGCATCAACAACTAATTTCTTTATTTTCTACTTAGAATTTCTTTTTTAAATTTTTTTAAATTATTTTATTATTTTGTGTGAGTGTACCGCCAAATCAGATCTGACTGGTACAGGAGGAGACTGCCCCTCCTTCCCCAGCAGAGCATCTGGTGGATTTGAACCATCCGCCTCTGGGATTGTAGTTGCAGCTCCTTGCCACTAGGCCACCAGAGCTCCCCTCTACTTAGAATTTCATCCTCAACAAATAGGGGCTCTATGAGTCATAGTTGGCTGGATGGCTTCCAACAACATTATATAATTTTTAAATGGGTCTAGCCTAAGTAACATTTTAATTTTGGTTTTCTTGACCTCTCTGTGTTCTTAGTCTCTCTTCCTCATTGTTTCTCTTGCAAATACTCTTATTTATGTCTGTAATAAATTTAATTTTTTTCTATATACATTCTTTTATCTC